GGTGGCTATGCAACTACTAAATATGGAATAGTGACTCATAATGACTCCATGTGACTCACTATGACTCAGTGTCCAAATGTTCACTTAGAGATTACCACTATTTCGGAACTGTCCAGAAACTATGACTAATCATTAAACAAAATGCAGATTACGTAAGAAGATTGACACTGCTCAGATGATGACTGCGCAGATGTTGAGATGTTAAGATGTTAAGATGAATATGGCTCATTAGGTGGGAAAATGTACAAGAAAATCCTGAAAGGTGCGGGAATGTGCTTACTAATGAAAGGATAAGGTTTTTAATACAGTTTGTTGACTGTGCTAAGTACGTAATATGAATGATTAATTCATGTAGCTATGAAAAACCTTCAAGAAAATTATAGTAAACTGTAATAAAGCCCTAAGACATTAGAACTGCCTTTATTGGCAGTATTAGGTTGTACGAGAGTATGTTATGTGTCCGTGATCATGTACGAAACAGGTTTCGTGCGTGTCAATGCGATATAGTGGACAGTGATCCGCACGCCTACTGCACCGCGGGCATAATACTGGCAAACAGAGTGGTTTTCCTACTATATGGGAACAGCATCGAGAATAACAAAAGCATAACATAATTTGGTTACACAATTTGGTAACACAATTGATTACACAAATAACTACACAACTTGGCTGCTGCTTTTGATTAGAATTCTCGAGTTAAATTGCCCTCCCTGCAGCCAAGTGTAATAAAGTGCAATACACTTTTAGTGGGTTTCATTTCTTATCAACAATGATAGAAATTGACTTATCAATGAGTTCAGGCAATCAAATTTTGCACTTGCTAGACAACAGTTTGAATAACAAATATGGATTAAAACTTTCCTATACGGTGAGTTGCTAATATATATTTGCTATGTGCAAGGTGCATTATGCTAATGCCTGCACCTATGATTTAGACAATCACCACAGATTACACCAGAACGTGATCAACAGTCTCAACGTGAGCATGATAGACTCGATCGACTTCAGATGACTTTGCCTACCAGATGCAATCGCCGCCATGCTGCTCATAATAATCAGGACAGGCCTCCACCTCCTGTACTGCAGCCCAATTTCATGCCAGCTAATGAGCCATGAGCAGTGCATGTTTTCCAGCCATTTGGTTGGCAACCCCCCCCTCACTTTCCATATCACCCACTACCAGTGGGGCAATATCCTGGCTTGCCACAAAATGCCATTGCACATGTCCTGCATGCTCATCGTCCTCCTCCTGTTAATCGACCTCCTCCTGTTGATCCTCCTCCTCCTGTTAATCATGATGCAGTCTTGAATGAGCGAACAAATACAGCTAGAAATAATAGACTTCGCCAGCGTAATCTTCGTCAGCAGCAGGAGAGACAGGAGATAAGACAGCAAGTGCAAGAGGAGCTCATGGCAGCTAGATTACAGCCCCCACACGTACCTCATATTCCTAATGAGCCTATTCATCCCACACCTCCTGCACCTCCCATGCCTCCTGTATATGGCCCTATCCATTATGAGGGTGAAGTTGGTCCTCACAACTTCAACAATCCCCTCCACTATTTTGCACCTGATCCTGTACCACCTCTACCTGCACTGCCTGAATGTGGCAATATAAATGACCATGACTAGCGTCAGAGACAAGCACAAGAGGCATTTCATCGAGAGCAAGTCCAGCGTCAATTGCAATGGCAAGAAGGAGAGCGTCTCCTTAGAGAAGTCCAGGAAGACCAAGCAGTCTTTCACTTGCTGCAGCAAGGGGGACACAATGCTCATCAGGCTCAGCAGCAGCTAGACGAAATGATTGCTAGACATGCTCAGGATTATCGCCGCAAACAGCAGCAGGAAGCTGAATTGATGAACAATCCTCTCCCCAATTTTGTGCCTCATCCTGCACCACCTTTACATGCACCGCCTGAACCTGATTATAATCAATTTAATATTCAGTTTCAACATGATTTTCAGGCAGAGCAGAATGAGCGCATTAGACATGACTTGCTTCAAAGACAAGCACAGGAGGAATTTCATCAACAGCATATCCAGCTACAATTGCAGCAGCAAGCTGAGCAACAGCAGATGCAATGGCAGATGCAGCAGCAATTCCAGCAGCAGGAAGCTGAGCAACAGCAGATGCAGCAGCAATTCCAGCAGCAGGAAGCTGAGCAACTGCAAACGCAGCAGCAACTCCAGCAGCAATTCCAGCAGCAGGAAGTTGAGCAAATCCATAGACAGGATCAGGATGTTCAGTGAGCAGGTCGACAGGAAGAGGAGCGCCAACACAACCAGGAGCAAAGAGTCCATGAGCAGGAGGAGCGTCTTGAAGAGGCACTACGTGAATATAATGATCCGGTGTCTCAAGAAAACCATAATGAAGACGAGGGAAGAAAAAGAACTCAGGAGCGCCAACACCGCCAGCAGCGCGAGGAAGAGGACAAAGAAAATATCATCCAGATGGTTCCAATCCCTGATGGAGGTCGACCGTATAATAAACCTATCGAAATTCATACTCTTGGTCCTCTTAATGTAGAGTGTCCCAACTGCTGTGCAATGCACTTTGAATGCGAAAGACTCTCCAAATCCTCCAAGCGAAACCCACACTTTGGTATGTGCTGCTTGCAGGGCCAGGTCAACCTTCACCCCTTTCCAGCATGGCCACGCGAGCTGCAGCAGGCATATACAAACTGAACCTTTGTCGCCAAGATTCGGCAGTACAACAGTGCTCTTGCATTAACATCGGTTGGTGTCAATATCGAGCATCAAGCTTTTCAAGGATCTGGCCCGAATGCTTTTCGTATCCATGGATCTCTCCATCACCTCATGGGCAGTCTTATACCTCCGGAAGGCCAGCAGCCTTCATATGCCCAACTCTACATCTATGATCCTGAGCAAGCCACAGAAATCCACGCCACCTGCCCTGGAAATGAAGGTCTTGATCGTGACACTCTCAGACAGCTCCATGATATGCTGTATTGAAGCCATCCCTATGCTCATCTCTATAAGCAGGCTTATCAGGTCATGCGAGAGAAGCCTCCAGAGCAGCAGACAGATATCCGTGCACGCATTCATTTCCAACAGGGAACAGATGGTCGAAGATATAATCTCCCTACTGCCAATGAAATTACTATGATCGTTCCTGGAGATGGATCTGAGGAGGTGTCCGACAAACGTGATATTGTCTTGCGACTTCAAGGCGGTCAACTTCAGCGCAATCAGTCAGCTCAGCCACACATGCTCAACTCTTCACTATATTCTTCTCTTTCCTTCTGGCGAGGAGGGCTGGCATCTTGACATCCCTCTCAATGTTGATGAGGGCGGACGTCAACGAGCAAAAAAAGTCACTCAGTTGCTATATTATGCCTATCGCCTTCATCCTTGCCCAGCTTGCCTAGACTACAATAACATCTTTCGTGGTGGACGGCTATTCCAGCAGTATGTGGTTGATGCTTGGGCCTCCATAGAGCAGAGCAATTTGAACTGGATCAGGAACAATCAAAAGCGGCTGAGGGCAGACTGCTACCGAGGCTTAACGGATAATGTTGTTAATGATGGTGTGGATGATCTGGCTCAGACAGGTCGCTCCATTATTCTTCCCTCCTCTCATACTGGGAGCCCTCGGTACATGCACCAGCTGCTTCAAGATTCCTTAGCCATTTGCTGTGCCTGCAAGAAGCCTGATCTCTTCCTAACAATGACTGCCAATGGGAGTTGGCCTGAAATCACTGAGAATCTCCTTCCAGGTAATAATTCACATTTGATGCACTGTTTATGACTTCAGCCTGACAATTTTCTTATATAGGTCAGAGTGCTGTGGACCGTCCCGACTTGGTGGCTCGTGTATTCTATCAGAAGCAACAGGCTCTTTTGAAGAAGGTTCGTAAAGGCTACTTTGGAAAGGTCACAGGTTTGGTGTACACCATCGAATATCAAAAACGTGGTCTGCCTCATATGCACCTCCTCATCTTCCTGGAGCCAGAAGATAAGATCCGCACTACAGAGCAAATCGACTCCTTCATCTCTGCCCAAATTCCTGACAGAAATCTCCATCCACAACTCTATCACGCTGTGGAAAAATACATGTTGCATGGTCCTTGCACCACAGAACATTGCTTGGAGAATGGACAGTGCAAAAAAAACATTTCCCAAAGTCATTCTGTCCCCAGACCTTGATGAAGGATGATGGCTATCTGGAGTACGCAAGACCTGACAATGGTCGCACCATCCAAAAGAACCAAGATGTCTTTACCAACAAAGATGTTGTTCCCCACCCCCCACAACTCCTGGTGGAATTCAACTGCCACATCAATCTGGAAGTCTGCGCCTCTATCAAATCTGTCAAATATATCCACAAGTACATCTACAAAGGAAACGACCGTGCTACTTTGGAGATGAGAGGAGCAGTGGATGAAGTCAAATCATATCTCGACTCCAGATATATCAGCTCGACTGAGGCTGCATGGCGCATCTTTGAATTTTCAATGCATCTCGAATGGCCCTCTGTCTACCACTTGCCAGTCCACCTCCCAGATGAACAGATGGTGTTCTATGACCCTGAGGATGATGCCCAGGATGTTCTTGAGCATGCAGCAGCCAAAGACACTTGCCTCACTGAATGGTTCAAAGCCAATGCCAATGAGAACTTGGTGGCAGCTGGAGCTAATGACCGCCTCTATCAGAATTTCCCCTCAAAATTCGTCTGGGCCAAAAATGCGTGGAAGATACGCCAGCGTGGAATGGCCATCGGAAGGATGTATGCTGCTGCACCCAGCTCTGGAGAGCGCTTCTACCTGAGATTGCTTTTGACTGTAGTGAAAGGTATGATGTTTATGACAATTGTTATCAATTCAACTCACCATATTTTTTAAGGGGCCACCTCCTACGAGCACCTTCGGACATTTGATGGGATTGTCTATGAGACTTTCAAGGAAGCATGTCAGTGCAGAGGTCTGCTTGATGACGATAATGAATGGATCCAGTGCTTGCAGGATGCCTCTCATATGTGCACTGGACATCGCATGCGCGATCTCTTTGCTATCATCCTGCTCCACTGCAACCCTACAAGCCCCGATGACCTTTGGAACGGCTTCAAGGAAAATCTCTGTGATGATCTGCGCCACCGCCTCACTCATGTTCCATTCAACATTCCTGACCCTACAGAGGAAGAGATCCATGACTTTGGTCTCTATCTTATTGATGGTGTGCTTTGCAAAAATGGAAAGTCTTTGGAAGTGATCCCTCAAATGCCTGTTTCTCAAATGGCAGCAAGATGGGGGGGCCATGGAGGGCAATCAGCTCATTGCTGAGCAGCTTCAGTATAATCCGCAGGAACTTCAACAGATTGTGGAAGTAGGAGTCCCTTTGCTCAATACCAAGCAGAGGGTGGTCTTTGATGCTGTGGTCCATGATGCAATGCATCGCAATGAGGAAAGACCTGGACATGGATACTTTGTTCACAGTGCAGGTGGATGTGGCAAGACATATCTCTGCAAGCTCATTGCTTCAAAACTACGTGCTGAAGGCAAGATTGTCCTTTGTGTGGCCTCCTCTGGAATCGCTTCCCTCCTCCTAGGCGGACGTACAGCTCATTCACGATTCAAAGTTCCCATCCCCATTCATGAGGACAGCTCATGCAACATAAAGAAAGGAGATGTTGGCCATGAGCTTCTCAAGGCCACCTCTCTGATCATCTGCGACAAAATCCCCATGCTCCACCGACATATTCTGGAATGCCTCGACCGCACATTACGTGACCTTCTGAACGTCGATGCTGATTTTGGAGGAATAAACATTCTCTTTGGAGGAGACTTCAGACAGACCCTGCCAATAGTGCCTCATGGATCCAGGGAGCAGATAGTGGGCGCTACCTTTTGCAGATCTCGCATCTGGCCAAAGCTTCGTATCTTCCACCTCAAGAGAAATATGCGGCTTGGTCAAGACCCTGCCTCTGATGAATTTGCAAAGTGGCTCCTTGAGATTGGAGCTGGTAAGGGCACAGATGGAAATGGAACTGTGACCCTCCCTAATCATATGCGCTGCGCCAACAATGATGTCCAGTCTCTCATCAATGCCCTATACTCTCCAGTTCTGCACCCTGGCCATCCTCCTGTGAATGATTCCTTCTTCCTGGAATGTACCATCCTGTCTGCAAAGAACACTGATGTGGATGAAATCAACACCACCATTCTTGAATCATTCCTTGGAGATAAAGCAGTCTTCACCAGCACAGACTCAGTCACTGAGAGGGACAATGACTACATTCCCGTAGAGTTCCTTCACACTCTCACCCCATCAGGCTTCCCTTTGCACAAATTGGAGGTCAAAACAGGTGTTCCTCTGATGCTGTTGCGCAACTTGAACCTCTCCGAGGGCCTCTATAATGGAACTCGCATGATCCTCCTGTCTTGGACCACGCATGTCCTTAGGTGTCGCATTCTTAGAGATGGAGTCAATGCAGCTCACCAAAATGATCAGGATACAGTGCTGATCCCTCACATGACCCTGGATGCCACATCTGAGGACAACCCTATTCCTCTCAAGCGTCGACAATTCCCCGTTCGTCTGGCATTTGCTATGACAATCAACAAGGCGCAAGGTCAGAGTGTCAAGCATGTTGGCCTTAATTTGCGCACTCCCGTCTTTAGTCATGGACAACTCTATGTGGCTTTGTCTCGCTGCACTCACCCAGACAGTGTGCGTGCTATCTTTCCGGAGCATGAAAGAAGGCTCAAAAACAACAAATGTAGTGTATAAAGAAGTACTTAGAGGCCTTACAGATCCCATTGATGATTGATGTGCATATCATGTACTTTTATATAGAGAAATGACTGATGCTTATGTATTGTGTACTTTACATGGTGTAGTAGATTGTACTTTTAGTTTTGTGAAAATGCTGTCCAAAAATGTAATTTTTTCAAAGTCCACTATGATTATTATTAGTAAGTCAAGGTGCCGCAGGCACCTCCCAAAAGAGCGCAAAGTGCTCCTTTGGCTTCCTGTGCCGAAGGCACAGTGAGTATTTAGGATGAAGCCAAGGCCAGGAAGCTAAAAAGGAGCGCAAAGCACTCCTTTTGCTTCCTGTGCCGAAGGCACAATGGGTGTTGGACTAGTATATAATACCATGTAAATCATGCTAGCTCCCATGTTGATGACACAGTTACTCAGGCTGAAATCAACTTGCTGTTAAAGGTTATAAGTAAAGGTAGTTCTGGCCTACCTTTGATATCTGGACAAAGTCACAGTGTCACAGAAAATGACCTATTGAAAACAAGTCTTGGTTTCAAGAGTGTCCTTGAGCAATGCATTCACTTAAGAAGGAGACAGTCATTACACATGGATAGTGAATCTGTAAGTGTCGCAAGCACACTGCAAATGTGCTATCTAAATGTGAATTAATTGGAACCAAGGTACAGGCAGCACATTTGTGTAGTGAGATTGAGGTGCTATATCCATCTACAAATTTGTACTTTTTGTAGGAGCAGTCATAGTTCACCTCATTTAGTTCAATCTGTCACCTATGCACTCTTATTAGAGAATGTGCATCTACATACAGTGACTCAAAAGTGTCCCAATGTTTGTAGGTTTTTCATGTAATTGTGAGAAGAAAACTTGATGGTACAGGGCTGTATGAGGTGGAATAGAGTAGCATTCTCTGTGAGGTGGAGAGAAGGATAAATACAGAATAGTACATCTTAATTTTGGAGAAGTGTCTGCTTAGAAGCATGCAGGGATTAGAAATAGACAAAGAAGACACTATCTTCTAACAAGATAATGATCTCAAGCATACTCCAAGTTGGCTACCAAATGGTTTGAAAACCCATGATATTATATTATATCCTGGCCAGCACAGTCGTCAGACCTTTAGCATTTTATTCTCTTTGAGTTATGCATAATTTGTGCATCATTATTTGCACATTTATTATTGCACACTGCACATTTTGTCAACAGAGAGCTTGCATATTATTTAAGACCTCCTGCCTGTGCATACTAGACATTTTGTCCATGAAGAGCTTGGTCTGCACCATGACACTGGCAATGAGTACAGATTTCTGTTGTAATGGTCAAAATCTGGGTCAATTCAAGGCCACATTTTCACAAATATCATAGTCAAATATCACCAGTCTATGGATAAAGTCTAGTAACACTAAACATGAGTGAAACTATGGCTTAAAACATATTGTATAAATCATTCAAACAAGACTGACACAGTATACCAAACAATAGTATTATCACTTATTTATACACTATTGAATATCTGCCCAAACTACTCAATTACAGATAAATTAACTTGAAGTCTATGATTAACTAACAATATTGACATCCATTCAATCACAAACAAACATCTACATATCTTCACTTGATCTTTTATCAGATGTCATGCTGAGACCAGCAGCTAATGAAGGTAAGTACTTTATTACATTCAGTTTGTGTATTTACACTTACTGACTATTGACTTCAGCTATCTGCAGCAGTCACCATAGATCCAGCCTTTGTGTTAACAGGATGGTCTTATTAGCAGTGTACAGAGATGAGAGGTGAGCAGAAAAAAAGTGTCTTGGCAAGTAAGTGACATGTCTCCAGGGTCATTGATGTTTTATGGGCTGAATGCATAAGTCTTTCTGGCTACATAAAATGAATGAGGTTAGTAAAGTGTAAGAAAGAAGTAGTAATGATAACTCTTAAGATAGAGCTGCAACTATATTACACTCTTCAGTTGAAACTTTGAGCATATGCTCTGCTACCTTGCATGGCAGACTCTTTAGGCATCTGTAACAATGCATAAATATGAATAGGCCTCAGTAGGTTGATTGAACGAAGTAGTGGTAGATACAATTGATCAGTAGTTAGCAATCCCTTAGAGGACATGTCTATGGCTTTAGTAAGCTTGCTGCAAGAGCTCTACAGAGTGAACAATGCAAGATATAATGCAGATAACACATGAAAATATGAAATTACATTATCAAGCATTTCATGAAAAGCAGTCAGTTCATGTTTCAGATGAAGTGCCTTCCCCTGTATCCAGATATTGTAAAAATGAGTTTTCATAAGTGCTTTTTGATAATAAGTAAGCAACTAATCAGTAAACTGAATAAAACTCATGGAGAAAGAGGTTACTTAGTTGATACAAGCATAGGAACTACTAGTGAAAACCTCAAAACTCACCATCATTAACAAATCTGCCAGCCATGCTTTGTCCACTTGTGTGATCCAACAAGCTGTGCATAGGGTAGTGTGAGAATGTGATCTAAAGCCACCAATCTTGTAAGTAACAGGCTTATCACAAAGAATCAATCAGTAGCACTACTTACTGGTATTCAGGGGTATGGTTAGAGATAGAAAATGAAGTGGGACATAATGAGTGCAGCACAACATTACTGCATATATATGGGAACTTAAGAAATGTGCAAGCCCATCATCATGTAAGTAGAAATGTACAGTACCTACTAGTCAATCCCTTGCCTAGGTGAAGCTCTTTGTTGGGATCTTGAAGTTTATTTGGACCATTCAAAAGAAAAGTGTCTCATTGGGTGCTTTAAGATTCAAGCAACATACATCCCTATCAATGATATCTGTAAATTGACTGGGTATTTGTGGCTTTCAACACCAGCCATTGAGTGATGCTTCATCTTCCAGGATCATTAACATGGACTGAACTTGAACTGAAAGAGGGAGATATGGACAATATTTTCCATGGGGCAAGATACATATTGTCTAAATGTACATAAGCAGTTTTGAGAGAAAAAATGTGTTGTTGTTATATGAGGCACATTTTGTATCAACAAGTCATTGATGACTGTATATCAACTTCACATCACATGACACTCACACCACACTGCCAGAAATTATAATCAGAGTTTAATTCATTGTATGGCATAAATTAATAGGTCATGTGATTCCTAGCATCATTGTAAATCAAAGGTTAGACAAGCAGATTTATCTTCCTCATCTCTCCCATGTTCATCTGTACTTCCATGAAATGAACATGTAATGAAAACTGAGAAATTACCTAAAAAGGCTGTGGATTCTTCTTCTAATTCAAACTGGATAATATCCTTTCTGGTGGTCATAGTTGGATCAGCCTGTGTTAAGACCGTAGCTCAAGGGTAGATGGATCCGAAGGGCTTGGCCTCGGCTCGTGCGCTGTGCCCCTTACCTAAGTACATGCCCTTAATTTCAGAATGAAGTCCGGATGAAATCCGACAAAGTCTGAAGGACTTCCGGAGACTGGCTACTCTGGTGGAGTGCTGAAGGACTTCCCATGGTAAGCTTCTTAGATGGAAACACATAGAGGAGGGACTGCAATGAACAGAGTCCAAAACAGGATAGGATAGGAGGAGTGTCTGAAGGACAGGACATCCGGAGGTCTGAATGTTACGACATCCAAAGGGTACATTGTCTGAAGGTTTTGTCGTCCGAAGGTTACAATGTCCAAAGGTCCAAAGGTTAGGAGGAGCGGAGGAACAGACAGGATTAGGACAGGAGGAGAATGGCTACTACAGACAAGGTCCGGAGTAGAAACAAACAGAGGTAGACTACACTTAAGTAGAGATGGAGTTGACAGAGAGTAGACAGAAGTCTCAGAAAGACAGGAAGTGCCGGAAAGGCAACACTCTGGCTTAGGAAGTCAATCCCTAAGCATTGATGTAGACAGAAGGATAAATCCGGAGGACCGGAGAGTCAGCCTATGGAATCCTTCCCTAGGCCTAAGGAAAGGTCAGACTAAAATGGACCAAAGTCCGAGACAGGAATGAGTGAAGTCTAAGATGTGAGAGAGCAAGTCTATGTTGATTGAGTGAAGTCTAATATGATATTCGAACTAAGGAAACCTTACAGGAGTTGTACAGAGGTTTATATACTGGAAGGGATCCGAGAGGATCAGTAAGCTGAACACAAATGCTATGTACAAGCATGTGGAAACATATTGGTAAGTATGAACGAAGCATAAGTAAATGAACTTGGAGATGAACAGAGTACAAGGATCAATAAGCAAGACGGAAACATAGATAACCGAAGTCCGGAGTCAAGGGGATTACCATAAGGGGATAGATGCTGATTAAAGATTTGGGCTTTGAATATGAGTATAGGTCAGATCTGAAGGTCTGGAGATATTGGATGAGGCGTCTGGATATCGGATGAGCGGATTCGGAGATCTAGGTAAAGACGGAACTAGGATAAGGATCATGGATGAGGCATCTGGATATCAGATGAGTGGATCTGGAGATCTAGGTAAAGACGAAACTAGGATAAGGATCATGGATATAGACCGGTAGTCTAGGGAAGGTAAAGTCCAAGGTGGAATGAGCTCAGATCCAATAGGATCAAGGGTGGATGAAGCAGGCTTAGCTGCAGAGGTCCAGAGGTATAGATATATGGATGTACGAAGGTGTACGGATCCAGACTGATAGTGGACTGGAGGACTGAAGGCATGGATATGGGTATGGAGTCATGGATAAGGGTATGGAGGTCCGGATGTGCATCCGGAAGGTGTCTGGAAGGCATGGGAACATTATCAGACGAAGGTCTGGAATATGGGATATAACAGCCTGGAGGTATATATATGCATCTGAATGATTTTTATATGACTGGATGATCATATATAAAAATTTTATTCTCACCATCATCTGTTACTACAAATGGAGAATGCATTTTAGCTATCCAAGTGGGTTCTTCACTTGTTACCCAAGTGGATTTATTATCTTTACCTCTGTCATGTTCATCTGTACTTCCATACAATGAACATGTGAACAATTTTTTGTTGGCTATGAAGGATTATTGAGACTAGCTATGAGTGAATTGACAGTTGCTCACAGCCTTCAAGTGCATGCATAAATAATGGTAGAAGTGACCTTCAGTGGAAAATGATGGCACTGCTATTATCAGTGTGACAATCATATTGGTGCTAGGCATGTATACATACATAAGCCTTGACAGCCATTTGCATAATGCTAGGTCAAAACACAAAAACTACACATACAGGCTGTGTTTGAATTTCTACCTCTGATTAGCTACATAGGGTATTACTTAGGACACAGTTGGGGTCTTGGGCTCAACTAGGCTTATGGGTGTGGTTGGGCTCACAGGTGCAATAGGAAAGATAGCAAGAAATTCATATCCATCGAGGAGCTCGCCCAAGCACCATTGATCCTTCTCTTTGCAGTGTGACAACACTGCTAGAGGCTCGGTGTGATCAACATAAAACTTAGTAAACACAGATGAAATGGTGCTGGTGTCATAGTCATCTTCAAAGAGTGTGCCCCTCAACTGGGCAGCTTTCAGATAGCTGATGGGTGAGGAGGCCAGAATCCCACCAGCATGTTCGCAAATAAAGCCCAAATCAACATCTTTGATATTAGCAGCTTCATGTTGTTAGTTTTAATGTCTATATATGAAGGTGATAATAGTAACTTACCAGCATATTTTACCAGAGCATTGCAAGCAGCAGGGTGAGATGAGACCAGACTAACAATATCGACACAGGAGAATAAGGCATCAAACTTGAGAGACTGCAAGAGCTGAGTTGCAATGTAACATTGATAGACTTGTTCATCAACAACCAGCTGAGTGATGCAGCCAACTTGTACAACATCAGAACCTGAATTTCATAAAAATTGTAAGATAGCTACTTCTTTATTGCCATAACTCGACACATTAGCAAATGCATGACCATAGAACTGGGGATTCTCAAGTGGATCAACCTGGAGGTAGCAGGTTACCAGAACAGTATGCTTTGGGTGAGATACACATTGAGCTCGCAGTTTTGCACTGGTCATCTTGACATTTTTCCCTGTGTAAAACGACTCAGCAATTATAAAGGCTCCGATGCTTGATCACCAACCAGGTACTGTGTACTTTGAGACGGCACTTGCCTGTTGGCTTCAAATACCATAGTTAGAGCTGAAGATGCATTTAGTGTATTGTCTAAAATCTCATTGCCCAGAAAGAGAACAAAGCTTTGGAGGGAGAAGTTGGACAACTGGAAAGGGTAACATGGAGTCTTGCCAGAAACATTTGATAATTGCCTTTGAGGTCCTTGCTCGTCCAGTGCTATTGGTATCTAAGGATTTTTTCTTGTTGAAGCCAGCAGCCAAATACATGTGTGCTTATAGGACCATGACATATAGGGAAATGAGCAGCCTGGTGTATATCCCTTGTGGTGGTGTTAGACAGGTATGAGTTTGTTGGGAAATAAGAATTACTTACTTATACAGTGGTTTATGTGTGATAGGTTGATGACTATGCATTAAAGTGTCTCCAGTGTGTTTGTGCATTTGGTTAGTGAAAGATTTGCCCTCTTTTATGTCCAAGTAATGAGATAGTTCCATTAAATGCAGCCATTCCAAGTTAAGAGCATACTACCCATCAGCACATGTTTTGACAGGCATGCAGACTGTGTAGAATTGTCCTGTAGGCTGGACACTTGTAAATGTTAGTTGAAATTGATAGTGTATATCTCAAGGTACCTACAGTTTTTGTACACAAATTCAAAATCTATGTTAACACCTTCAAGACCACATTCTCTTGTTTTTGAAACAAAAGAGGCCTTCACAACCTCACACAAATATAGATCAAATGGCACCTTGATATTGTTAAAGTATTTTCTATTTGAGGTATCATTATTTTGCAACAAATAGTTGAAACACTGGTTGAGAAATGTGGTGAAAGATGGTCTTTCAGGTGTGGTGGCATCAAATTTTGAAACAATGTGCTGGCATAATATTATATCATATATCTGTTCATACCAGTTGTGCAAAACAAGTCTTAAAAAATTCTTAACTAGTTATTCTTATCAGGACACTAATCATCTATGCTCTTGATAAGTTTCACACTGATGAGTCTCTGGTCACATCAATCTTATTGTTGGTAGCTGTACTTTATATTTCATTTCTGTAACGCACCACTGTACTGACTTTCTTTCAAACATCCACTATTTTCTCCCCAGATTACAATGACTCTCTTCATTGCCATGTTACAGTTAACTGGATGTTTCAATTTGTACAAGTCACTAGACGAGCACAAACATATTGCTATTCAATTCAATAAAGTCTAGTGAAAAATATAAATGGTTTATATCAACCCTCTTGTTTTTGTTTAAAAAAACAAATATTGTCCTTCAGGATCAAAGACCATATTAGCAGAGGGCTTACTCCTGACCAAACTATCACATGTATGTATGTATGTATGCATGTAGACATAATATCAATGTAATATCAATGGAAAACAAGTACTCTGCCAGCATATTGTCAGGCAAAGGCTGGCACTAAGTTCATACAAAGGGAATAATGATACAATGTGAAATGTGTGTCCTCCTTTCCTAAATTGGTATCTCAGTTAGAGAGACATCTTCCCTCCAGTCTCATAGTTGATTAAAATTGAAGATAGTGTTAATGTAGTGTAATTATATGGAGTTAGTGCTGTAGAGGCCAGTGAATCAACTGAAGTTCTTAGCTGTTGAAAATCTCACTGAAGGTTGTCTTAAATCTTTCCATTTATTTATGTAGTGCATAAGATGAGATAACTTTATTTTTCCTGAAGGTCTGCTAGCATTTATAAAAAAACAATAAAATACAGTCTAAAGGACTGGGATATACTGTAGAAGGGTGTTGAATGTTGGAGTATTTTCTGTCATTCATCACAATGATACTTACCAGTCCTCCTAACCCCCAAGCAGTACCTTGTTCATCGCACTGAGTTATATAGACTTATGATTTGGTACTACACACCTACCTGAAGACCACTAGGCTCTCTGTTTTGTTCGCCATCTAGAACATTATGGATAATCAACTATGGCAAGTGTTGTAGAGCACTTGTGTTAAGCATTAATGTTTGATGTCTAGCAGAGTAGTAAATAACCAAAAAAGCTTGATAACAGATGGGGTCTTTGGGCAGAAGGTCAAACATTAGCATTTAATGATCTAGAAGTATAGGAAGTGAAAAGAAAGTGTCGACATTTATTTTGATATTAAGAAGCAGAAGTGCATAGAGCACCTGGCCAACAACGCAAGGAGACAGTGGAGAGAAGTAATACTGAAGTGACCAAACATTGGTGTTCAATAGTCGTGAAGTATACTAGAGAACAAACAAACATTTGACATTTATCTAGAGGATATGGTCTCCAGAGGGCAGGCCTGGGAGTTTGACCTCCAAGTGATACATCAAATATTGACATTTGATGGATCAGGAGTACAGCAGATATACTGAATTAATATTGGTTTCAAAAATATGAAACCAAGGTCTGCAGATTGCAGGCCCAGCAGTATAGCATAAGCATTGACAAAATGAATGCCTCATTGGACATTGGCATGCAACAACCCTTGAGTATAGTAGAGAGTAAACATTCAACATTGATTTTGAGGGTACAATACAAAGGTCATTAAAGTGCAGACACAGGAGTAACAATAGGAAAGGAGTATCCAACCAGTTGTTCTTGAATGAAGTGGTCAAGCATTAACATTTGACAGCCTTGAAGCATAGTGTAGTAGTGAGGTAACATGTGACATTTGTTTTGAGAATATAAAATAAAGGTCTTTATAATGCAGCAGGCCCAGGAGCATGGTAAAAAATACCAATGCAAACCAAGTGTCTGGTCAAATATTGGCATTCAATGACCCAGGAGTGTATAAGATATAAATCATGGATAGTAGATTCAAGAATATAAAAAAAGTCTTTGGACTTCAACATCATCAATGGCCAATGCTAATTTTCAATGTTAATATTCAAGAAATAAAGAAGTACATAGCATTTTCTAATACAGGCATTACAACAACTTACATAATATGACTTCATTGGTTACTGCTGGAGTCATTGAAGTCACTGGACTCTGAGTCTGAAGTCATTGTTTGCATACCAAATAAGGTCATCAAATCACCTATTATTGAGTCAAGGTTGCAAAACACCTCATAGTACATATTACAACATATTCTCAACCTTCTACTCTCATCTTCCAGCTTCCTATTGCTATTCAACTCATAATTTTTCTTGACTGTGCTGGTCACTATAGTAACTCCATCTTCTAGTGGGGATGTCTCAATGGGCAGGTGTTAGTATTGGCCCAGTTGTTAATTGCACTAAGCGTGTAATGCTCACACTGCTTGACCAGCATGATGCTTTCATGAGCTCCCCTCCCTACAATTTAAGAGATTTCTAGCTTGCTCAAAGGTATTGTACAAAGGCTAGCACTTGCTCTGAATGACAGAATGGGGTCCTAGCTGTTAATGAGATAGCAGTTGATTTGTAAGTGTCAATTATGCATATGCTTTTAGATCCACTCATATCTATCAGGAGCATAACATACTTCTACCAGTTGATCACTGGGTGTAGGCAGATAGTGCTTATCCACCAAGCACTTGGTGTATTATCCCTTTTAAGAAGGCCTGCAATAGACACCTGACAGCAAACCAGAGGACATTTAATTTTAATCTTTCTTCAGTTTATACAATTATTTCCTGATTTTTCTAAATTTACAATTTATCTAGGTCTATGTCCATGTTGAATATGCGTTTGCTGCATTGAAAGGGTGATTTTAATCTCTTTAAGATCTCTGATAGAAATCAATTCAGCTGATGACTTGTGGGCAGCTGTCCATTGGATCAGTGTTGTCTCATTCTTCATAACATGATCATACGGTTTGAAGAAAATTGAGGTTTCAAAGAAACCATTGGTTCAGTTAAATAGGCCCATCAAGTAGATTATATGAGGGGACTCCAGGTCATGCACAGTATGAGAGGTTAGTGTATATCTTATTTGACAGTCTCCACTCAAAGGCACACTGTAGTGAAGATTGGGAGTAGCCACAAATTCCATTGACAAGCAAATATATAAGAACATCAGTGTATATTAAAGGTAACACAAGAGAATAAGTGATATGCACAGTACAAAAAGCTTGAAAGTAGCATAAAGCAAGGACAAATAATTAGCATTGAAAACTCAAAACCCAGAACCAGAACTAGTAAGGGGAGCATATTCAATCTTGAGGTGTAACATTGCCACCTCCTCTGCATATGCATATGTTAGTGCATTATGCATTTTAATCTCTGCTTTGTAAAGGCATATTTTAGAATCTCTCATCCCAGAGAAATTAATATGCAACAGCTGCTTTGGTTTGCTCATCTGTGCACTCAGTTTTCAGGAATTTATATTCATTGACTTGATGAGTGAGATTGTATTTAGCCATGTAGTGCTCATTTCAAAGTTCTTCTGGAGTAATTCTATCCAATTGTGTGCTCTTAATTTCTTCATTGAGGTAGTTGACCTGACCTTAGACATCCAACTGCCGCTTCTTCATATGCCTCAGTTTCCCTCCAGATAAAAAATTAGCAGGGGACATCAAAGGGAGGCTATGGTAACATTGGAGTCATTACAGTAATCACACTTGAGGGGGAGTAGGTTATGGAACATCATCAAAGGAGAAGTCTATTAGTCATCATCAGGAAGGCACATGTCAGTGTCATTGGTAGGTGAATTGGAAGTGTCCTGAGAGGAGAACATGCTAAAATGGGGGTGCTGGATATACTAAGGGTACTCAGTACCAGTGAGATAGTTGGGCTGGGTTGTAAGGGGATGGTACTGAGGGTAACAAAGCAAACCTCAGTCATAAGTGAAATGACTGTAATTGAATATTATACCTAACAAAGTGAACTATTATCTGTTAGTATGATTAAATAGAAACAAGTTCTGTACTCACTCTTAGTCATAAGTGGAATGACTGAGGGAAAAATAGGAACAAAAAATGCTAAGTGTTCTGTGGTATAAACATATACAGATACTGCTGATACTTGCGATTTTATTGAATGTCAATACTTCCACTCAAATGAGGCAGTAGGCCGAGGGCTTTTGTGAACTTTAGATGTTTTTCTCTAGGCAGTGCTTTTGTCATTATGTCTGCAACCATTTACTCCATAGGATAGTAATTGATAATGGCCCACTTCCATTCATTCACTACTTCTCACACATGGTGATATTTGCACTGAATATGCTTTGGTTGTGACATGTAACCTGGATGCTTCATAAGTGATATGAACCCTTAGTTATCTGCTAACAACAGTGTAGGTTTTTGCTGCATGTGACTAAGCTCATTCATGATTTCTCATAACTAAGTTAACTGCTGCACTGCATTCAAGAGGCCAATATACTTAGCCTTGGTAGATGATAGGGCAACTAGTCCTTGGAGCTTGTTGCTCCATGATATAGCTATGCCACCCATAATAAATGCATACCCTGAAGTTGACTGTGATGTATCAATATC